AAAGTTACTCATTAGTTATATATGTATCTTTGTGTGTTTTTAAACTCAAAAGAAGTTTGAAAATATTCTCAAACGAGACTCACGATTTACAAGCTGGCGAAAATTATAACGATATCTACACGTAAAATATGTAATTTAAAAAAAAAAAAATATGTTATATATTTAACGTTTTTAAATCATATGATGTTAAAGAGTTTAACTTTAGTCGATAATTCAGGTAAACCTACTTTGATAAACTATTTCCAAAATGAACTGAAACTGTCCAATTTTAAAATTAAATTTGCTTTGAATGCCATTCATATTATAAATACATTGTATTAAATAAGGTAGATGGACTTTATTTACCAAGGATATAACAAGCACCTATTTCAAAATAAATGATGTATAATTCACGTGTTGAAATAATGATTTACTTTTGATAGGTTGTAGACAAATTCTAAAGGTTGCAGTTTTATATTTTGTTGGTTTGATAATAATCTCATGAGTTCCTATGTCCGCCACTGTTACATTACGTATATGGATCTGTATGTAATAATCTTTCGGTCGTTCTTGGTTGATGACGTCAGCACTGACACCATATTTGGAGGCCATGTTCGGACCGTAGATTTGATGTGGAATTCCATCAATACTGATGTATTCTCCTAGTCCAACATTTGATGAAACACACAGGTGGACAACAGCAGCGGAATGTATTCTCACAGTAATAGTAACGTTGTCATGGTCACCGGGGCAAAGCTGTATAAGAGTTTCTGTAACATTGTATAACAGCATCAATTTTATTTAGATAAATAATGCATCCAATAAAACACAATTTCTGGAAAAAGGAAACACTTTGATTATATTTAAAAACACTAATTAACTATCGATATATTTGAAGAAAAAAAAGTCCAAGTCCTTTTTATCCTGATATATTGAACAAAAAATGATGAACGTTCAATAGTACAGACTTTTTTTTGTGTTAGACATGAAAATGAGTTTTAAATTTGCAACAAAAATTGATAATTATTTATCATTCGTTTTCATCATTTTGAAATGTGTTTTATTTAACCATAACAATGTAGTTTATAATTACAGTTACTTCGAAAGACACATTCCTTTTGCATCATGAGGAGGACATCAATTGCTTGATAATGCTACTAAATCAATAAGTATAAGACATGAACATCTTTAAATATCAAATGTTTACATAAGGACCTTGAGTTTGAAGATACTTGTTTTTCATCTCAATATCTTAAATTGTTATATTGTATGTACACATGCTAAAGGTTATAAATAAGTTGAACTTTTTTTTAATTAGAGAGAAGAAATAAAAATATAGCAATTATATAGTCAAATTATAATTTTAAAATGAACTAAATTAACTTACTCTATTTTTTAAAGATAATACTCTTAATGAGAAGACAGTTTTATTACAAATTAAAGTTTAACTTATTGCATTGTAACATGGATTTTCAACACATGGAATATAAGAAAATTTGGTCAACTTAACAGCTAAAGCCTAAACTAAATTTAGTATTACATTTAAAAAAAAAAAATTAAAATATCTTAGCAATTTTCTATAGAAGATCATTCGTCATTATCAATAAGCAACATACTATAAAGATAATATAATTTAGAGATAATAGATTAATGCTGCTAGTGTAATCTTATAATAATATTTTTTTTTTACTCATATATACTGAAATTTATACACCTAAAGATTTTTAAAAAAAAAACGTTAAAGGTTATTAAGCATATTTTATAAGTAATTGCTCTTTTAGAAATAAATAAAATGAATCATATATTTTACTGTTTAACACATATATGTCATACTATGGAAATTTTATTTTCCGTATTACCATGCATTACGTATGCATCACAAAATTGCATCGGTATCAGTTTAAACAAAATTTTCAACGCATGTGTCCTTTATGTCTTTGGTAAAAGAGCCGTCCAAACCTTAAACAAATGTTTTATAAACATGTAAGTAAAATAACTAAATGTTTATGCAAGTTTCTATAATCATTTGTATATATTTTTATTGAGAAAAAATTATACTTCACATAATGGCTATAAACCATTTCGTGTGCTTTACTTTGTTGTTGTTTTTCTTTTTAAACCTCGCTTTTGTTCGCGTATTTCTTTTTTCTGAGTTTGCGTCAAAATCTAAGGAATGAATATTGACCTACCTCCCATCATCGTAGGGAGACGAAAATAGCTAAACATATTCTTTTAAATTAAAAGCACACCCCAAAACCCTTAACTTTGTTTTATCTCTATCAAATATTATTGACTTCCCGAAATAAAATGCCAACTAACTTCACCAAATGAGATACTTAAAACTATCGTGCGTGATATTTTCTTTTGTTTTTCATAAATAGTTATTGTAATAAATCTCTGTGTAAGAGCTGTTATGACATTAGAATATTAATAAAGTTCATGGACGTTAAAACAAACAAAAAATTCAGAATCGAGGGAGGGGAGCGCTTAATGATATTTCATTAAGCTCGTTACTGAAATGCATGTTTTGCTGGATATTATATTTTATTTTGAACAAAAGACACACACTCATATATATATATATATATATATGTATATATAAATATATATATATATATATATATATATATATATATATATACGAAATATTTCAATTAAAGGGTTTTATAATGTATTTTTTAAATTAAAAGAATGTATTGAATCATTCTAACTATTGAATTATTTAAAAAAACACACACATATATATATATATATATATATATATATATATATATATATATATATATATATATATATATATATATATATATATATACGAAATATTTCAATTAAAGGGTTTTATAATGTATTTTTTAAATTAAAAGAATGTATTGAATCATTCTAACTATTGAATTATTCTTGTATATGAGTAAAACAGAGTAGGGTTAAACCTGAAAAAAATAAATGCAACAAAACAGCAAACGTGTCTGCAGAAAGCCTTCGTCAGCGAACAAAACAACAGAAAAAACGGTATAAAAATAAAAATAGGAAATAGCACTTAGCTGGGAAGTAGTATCTGTGGAGACATTTCTTTTTCTGCCGACATAACTAAATGTTTACTATAGTGTACTAACCTGACTGCAGTCTCTCCCCTTATTACCCTATTCTTGTATATGCTATTTATTTATAATAAGTAACTTTTTAAATTATAACATTGTTATATCTAAATCTCAATAAGCAAGTGTTACATATCATTTTATACTTAAATGTTAAATTTCATTTTAATAACACATATTAAATATTAATCAAAATTTTCACTCACCTTTGAGGTTGAAAAACACTTTGTGCGAAAGTGATGAGCCAGACTTTGAATAGATCTGAACGTTGTACATTGTCGCCGAGAATTTCGTAAAGTTGAGTATTTCAATTGTGTAACGTATTACTTCTTTGCTGATGGAATCTACCATGACACTGTACTGGTTTCTAATTCCCGTTGTTGACACAGCCACGTTATTAATTAAAATTGTATTGTTCAGTGTTTCATCAGTTTTAACACACAGACTAAATATTGCTCTTTCATTTGGCTTGATTTGGATGACATTTTCAGATTTGTTGTTACATAAGCTAAGTTCAGCTTGCAATAAAAAAAGAAATGCAAATTTATTTTAATTGTAAAAATTTAAGTAATAAAACAATGTTTTTTTCTCATTATTTTGCTATACCAAATCTATTCTACATTCCTACTTACACTTCATAATATAAGCGTAGTGCAAATAATTACACATTTATCTTTTTGAAAATAATGATTTACTTTAAAATATTAATTTTTGGTGTTAATATTTATTATATAACAAAATAAAGTTGTGGTTAATTGTTGTTTCAAGAGATGTTTTAATTCATTTCGTTTGAATTCATTTAGTATCCTTTGTAAGTGTCTACAAATTGAATGAAGTTAATGATCATATGTTGCTTTTACATATAAATTCGTTTTAAGGAAAAACACTTACTGTTTTTCATTATGTTAACTGTAACATTCACCGAGTTTTCAATATGTATTGTGTAATTTCTGAAGTTTTTCTCTTTAACATCAGACATTGATAGCCCCACTGTAGTGTATGGTCCATTTCTTTTCATTGAGGAGTTGAATGAGTTTATTGGGATTTGTGTTATGTTAATCAGAGGATGGTTTTCAAATGTGTTAAATAGACACACTGTCAAGTTAATGCTACCACCAATGCGTGTTTTTGTAGTAATGGAATGAGGTTGCCAATCGCAAAGTTTAACCACAGCTTTGGAAAAAGAAAGAATTATAATATATAATTTATCTCAGATATAAAACTGTAATTGCCAACAATTCAAATCGAATATACAAATTTAATATATTATTTGAAATATAAATGAATATATTTATAAAATGTATCAATTATATTAATAGGAAAAATGTATGTCAAACAATGTAACACTAATCCTCTATGCAATTTACTAAACGTTTCAACACTTTTTCTCACATAACCTGTTAAAACTAAATCTCATTTAACACAAGCAAACTATACATATAGTTATTCTAGATAAAATTATTCTAATTGTTGATTTTATCAATAACAAAATGGGACATGAATAATGATAGTTATTCATGGGATAAAAAGACATTGAGTAAAAGATGTTCTTTAATAAATAACAAATATTTGAACTAGCAAATATGAACCAACATGATCAATGCAATAACTGTGTATGTTTAGTACTAATTTAAGCGCTTAAATTAAAATAAACATATTTTAAATACTTGAAAACTTTTTAATTAACAGACCTGGACAGCCCACAATTAATAAAAAGTATTCATATGTCCGTGTTGTTCCTTGAAAATCAGTGACATCGCATTCATATGTCCCCATGTCAGAGCAGGAAAAGGTGTTAAAAAAAAGCCTTAGTCTTACATAAGGTTTCAAGAAAGTATTGTCAAGTGATACAGAAGATTCTTTACTCAATGATTTTTTTCTTAATGATACTTTCTTGGGATAGTTGTAAGCTGTACATGTTAGATCAAATTCTTTGTCATTTTCACTATGATGAATGTGAACTGTTCGATTACCTGTATATTGGATAAAGAAAAGTAAAAATAGTGTTACTAGGTTTCATAGCACTATTATTATTATTTCTTTTTAATAGAGCCTATGTATTACTCCAGTTTGTTGTGTTTTCTTTACAATTTTATAAAATTTCAAACTGCTTTAATTGGGATCCGTTTAATTTTTTTTTCAGTTGTAACAATGTTTGAGCTTTGTAGATAAGTGTGCTTTGGCTATTCATGTAATACTTATTGTATTACCTACCTTCACTTGTAATATATAACCTAAATTTTAACACTTGAAAATCATTAACAGGTAAGGCTATGTCCACTTTTCCGTAGTCACTAACATTGATATTTCTTATAGTTATGTTGAGTGTCTTATGCAAAATATCTGTAGTGTCTCGAATGACGTCAAATTTGATTTTATCATCGTTAGCATCTTCTCTGCTCCATCTATTGTTGTATTGCATTACTAAATTTTGAGGTATTTCTTTGTTTACTAAAAAACATATAGAGACATGGGCATCAGTGCTAAGATTAGCTGTGACGATTGTCTCTTGTTGTTTGTAGTCACACAAAATTGGATTACCTGAATTTTAAAAAAAAAAATTAAAAATAGAGATTTATAAAAAATGTTATACATAATTAAATACTATTTCTGGGTTATATTTCTGCTTGGGTTCTTATTTTGAAAACTAAAAGAAACGTGATAAAATAAATTGAAAAGGTCACTTTCATATTGTTAAAATTAAAAAGAATAAATAACAAAAATCATTAACCATCGTCTTCGCCTATTCTTTTTTTACTTCATACAATGAAAGTATTGTTGTGTACTTCAAATGGTTTTTACTTTTTAAGTTTTATTTAGGTATAGATTTAATTTAAAATTATAATTTATAGTTGACTATACAAGCTATGTTATTAAATATATTATTATTGTGTACTATGTAGGTAAGCTAAACGTTTCAATTTAAAATAATACGATTGCATCTATTTTTTTTTAAATTCTTAAACCATAGTTACTTTGATAAATTCAATAGAACTTACATCCTTCTAAAAATAGTATTACATGATTTTCCGCTACTCCCGGTGCCTGGCAGATGTAAGTTCCAGCATCTTTACAAGTTGTTGAGTTTACAACAAAAGACACAACACCAAAACTAGATTTTAATAGTTGACCCTTGTCATTTGTTATTTTAACATTAGATTCAGGCATGCTGCACGTCAGAGTTACACTTGAACGTATTTCTGAAACCAACGGACGTGTGTGTTCTTCTCCGTTAGCCAGAAAAAACAGCGACTTTTCTAAATTAAAATAAAAATTAAGCTTGAATAAGCTAATAATAATACGATATTTTATTATTACGTTGTTCGTGTATTTGGAAAAGAAAACTAAAAAAAAAAAATATACATTTCTTAAAAAATACATTTAGTGACAATAATACAAATTATTATTTGTCATTTCCTTTGATTTGAAAGTATTTTATAATATATTTCAATCTGTTTAGTTAGATTACAGATACATTTCCTTCATATTTTAACGAAAATAACGAAGTTTCCATATGCGTCATTAAATAAAAAAAACAAAACAAAAAAAACAAAAAAAAAACAAACATGTTTCTCCGTCAGGCCGGGGAAAATCAAAAGCTACGCCCTAATCAAAGCATTTATTCTTGCATCCTCTTCCAAAAATAATGTATATTAATACACATATTTCATTTCAAAACGTCGATCTTGGCACCCTCTAAAGATGGCCTCTTGGGCGACTGGCCATATCGCCCCCACATATATCGCGCGTCCTTGGCCTTTTTACTTCTGGTACTAAATATTCCATTTAACTTATATATTTTCATAGTGTAAAGAACGCGAGCTCGTCTCTGTTAAACTTGCCTCAAATGACACTCGTATTTCACCAATCAGACTTTAGTACCCTTTTCCCCGTGCTTGAACTTTGTTTCACCCAACTTTAGATTTTTAGCAGACAATAGCGTTTGTTGTAGGCGTGGCTTAGTCTTTGATGTATCCTGTTTACTACCGACTACCAATTAAACATGGCTAGTATGTATATTAGGATCTTATGGAACATTCTCGATTATATTAGAAAAGTAAGGGCGTTTCTAGACGCGTCGGTAGACCCACATAAATAAGGGATTGATAGGCACAGAGAGAGACGGAGATTCAGATAAATATTATGAACTTTACGAGACTAATATTTTATTCTTTGTGTGCTCATATGTGTTTATTCGCTTTGATCATTCATCATTATTAATTGGCACATTGTACTAACACCTGTGTACCGGTACAAGTTTTTCACATACTCTGTAAGTTGATGATTTGTAAATATATTTCTTTTGTTTAGTTATTGTATGATTACTAAATCAAATCTTACTAATTGTAATTGTCAACTGTTTTTGCGTGTCGTAACTTTATTTTTGTATTTCTCTATGGTATCGTCCTTTGTTGTGCACTGTTTGAGCGAGCTATAACTTAAAACAAGCGATAAATTTCTCACAAGAGAAGCCAGTGCGTAACATACTACTCGATAATGGTTACAGTGTTGCTCTTTTATTGATATGCTACTTCATTTGCTTTCTCTTTCCTTCTTTTCGCACTCAAATATGACTGTCCCGGTTTATTTCTCGCTATAGTGTCCATACTTGAATGTTCCCGATTCCTGTCCGTCGGATCCCACTCCGACTGTCCTCCGTGTTCTCCCCCGTCCCGTCTAACGGTACGCTTTATGAATCCATCCTCAAATTTGGTCGTAACGTCTCTAGAGATTCCATCCCTGTGCTATCCTATTTCTAAACATCTTGTACATAAATATTTATACCGACCCGCCCGTTGAAATAATGGACATTAACTAGCCCCTACCTCATCGTAATGTTCGTACCAGGCAAGTAATAATAATAAAAATAATCAGGTTTATTTGAAAAACACCCTTCACCACCAAAAGCTCGAAGCGCGGTTCAAAGTCAACCATATTAAAAAGAGAAATAAAAGCAATCTAAAATTTACCACATTTAAAAACATATGCAACACTATAAAGCTACATACGAAAATACCCAGTCAATGTCTTTCATCCTGTTTCAACCATGAGCAACACAAGCCAATATACATTAACTGAAAAGATGGTAGATAGCATCACCCCACAAGATGTTTCCGAAATAGATGTGTTTTTAAATCGGTTTTAAAGGACTCCAGTGTCCGGCTGTTCCTGAGAGCGACTGGAAGTACGTTTCAAATTGTTGGGCCGGCAAATGCAAAAGTGCGCTTTCCGTAAGTCTCAAGACGAACACACGGTATCGATATTTTGCCCCTATCGGATGAGCGGAGCTCTCTAGTGGGTACATAAGGCGTCATGAGTGCTTTGAGATAAGATGGCGCCAGGTCACACCTAGGTCTTAACACTCAACAATATAATTATGATATTCTCTAATTTAATAGTAAAGACACATTTGTTTCTTTAATAATACTATGTATGAAAATGTCACAGCAATGTATAATATTTATCAATCAATATTTTACGTTAACCAATTTCATTTGCTTTTTCTTTGTTTATTGTTGATAGTTATTGAAAATAAAACTATATTTAGTCACCAAAAATTAAATTGTATCATTATCTTATTTCAATATATAATATTTTGATATTAAAAAAAAAAAAAAAAAAAGCATGCATAGAAAGGCGTAGCTAAGGTTAGTGCGTCTGTTTCAAGCCAATAATTTTGCCATCCTCTTCAACGATAATGACTCTGCAGATAGAACAAAAACGCCAACAATTCAGCCCCTTACTAAACCAGTTAAAATAGTTTTTCAAAGTCTTACCTTGACATTCGACAGTGTTGTATTGAAGGATATTTAAACAGATAACGATCCACAGCCTCCAGGATTTGGAATTGTGTGAAATGTGTTTTAGAATATTCATGGAGATATTTAGAAATGTTTTTTTCTTCTTTTTTTTCTTTAATATAAGTAAATAAATAAATATATAAATATATGTCCACACAATTCGAATTTTTATGCCTTTTATTTTACTTCTATGTTTAAAATTATATCAAACTGCTATTACCAGTGCTGAAATAGTAAAAAAAGGGGGGGGGGGATAAAGATAGCAAGTATTAATTTAAAACGGAACAAATTGATAATAAACTTTTAATTGAAATAAAAATTGCACGAATCTTAATATGTGAAGCATAACTTATGTCAGAAATGAATATGACATACATAATGTTAGCTAATCAGTATAAGTAAGTTTTAGTAAAAAAGGAATTTTAACAAATACAAGTTTAAGACGTTTTGGCAAAAAAACTACTTATTTTTTAACAAGTATTATTTTTTTTTTGTAATTGTATCCATAAAATAGTTAAAAGTGTGTGCCCTTTGTCTTATTCAACTATAGATTGTAACTGATTCTAGACACAGCTGAAATTATTTTATAATAACTATGGTAGATTTACTCTTATTTTAAACAACAAAGATAAACTACAATATTAGAGTATTAAAACAACAAAGTTGCAATACAACATTAGAATATTCAAACAAAAAAGACATTAAAATATTAAAGCAACAAAGATCAACCATGAAAATCGAAGATTTAAACAACAGCGATGCAGACATGATTGTGGTATAACGTAATCAACAAAACTCTAAGAATCAACATCTTACCGGTAATGAACACAATATTAGAAGTTATTAAATCACGTATCCAATTCTGTCTACATGATTGACCCAACTATAGCCTGCCTTACCTGAATATGCACTGACACTTCTTTAAGACCGAAACCGAAATTCTCATTTGTTAAGGTTCTTTTTTTTTTCTTTTCTATTACTTCTCCCCCTAATATAACCCTTTTTTATTGAGAAGTCATAATCTGTCATTTCCAAGCTACTGAAATTAAAAAAGCTGCAAGCAAGACCATTTAAAAGTCCCGTGAGTCATGTTACCCAGTGGGGTATTTCATACACTAAACATGCCTCATAGTAAGTTAAAGTAATTTACTTGAGTGTTGACTTATCAAACAATCGAGCCAATTAGTTGTTCATTGAAGTATCGGATAAACCATCTCTGATTGTAGAGATGTGGTTTTTGTGACCGTGTTATTTTTTCTCAGGAAACCAGGTGAGCTTATTGTAAAATAAAATTAAAACAAATATATATATATTCTTTATTTTACATACAAAATATCAGCAAACAATTCGATACAGTTTTGCTAATACTTTTATATGTGGCGATTAAGATTTATGAAACGCATACATGTACAACGCTCTATTTGAATGTGTTTATAATTTTGTTGGTGTTGTGTTTTAAAAAAAAAATGTTGTCATCACAATTTTGCTCTAACATAAATATTTTTCAAATAAAATACATGAAAGAACATGACATAAATGAAATGTGTATTGAATTACATTTAATATTATTTATGTCAATTTGACTGACAAAATTATCAGTGTGTTTTTATGTATGTATTTATATATTTTTTTTAACATTAAATTTAAATGGGGTCATCACAATTTCGTTGTAGAATTATAATTTTAAAATGAAATGATCAACATATGAAAGGTGCATTTAACTAAATTTGGCAT